TTTTTGATACCCTTCATTACATGTGCCTGCAGTATACATTATTCTAGATTTGAAAAGAAATCACTCATGATGTGAAATTGGTAGGTGGTGGGTTTACCAGGAAAAGGATGCAAAACTGAACACACCCTGAGTTTCAAAGTTTTTGTTTCTGCTTGAGTAAAGAGTTAATTGAATGAAAGAAACTGATTTAACACTCTTAAATCAATCACTTTTATTAGTTGTAACCCTAAATTAATTTTCTTTAAACAATAATATTTCACTCTTACTGTGTTTACATCAAGAAGCCCTGGTGGTGCAGTGGTTAAGTGTTCCGCTGCTAACCGAAACGTCAGTGGTTTGAATCCACCAGCCGCAATGTGGAAGAAAAATGTGGCAGTCTGCTTTCCTAAAGATTTCAGCCTTGGAAACCATATGGGGCATTTCTACTCTGTCCTATAGGTATGAGTCAGATTCAACTTGATGGCAATGGCAATGGGTTTGAGTTTTGTTGGTGTTTACTTCTGCCAGAGCAACATCACTGCACCACAAAATTACCCATATGCAATTGAGTACCTGATACATGCTTTTTGATTTTGTCAACAAGTGATAGAAAAGACTACATCATCTCAATAAGAATGCATTTTCCTTAGTCACCGCACGTTGTTTTGGTTTCTTTTAAAAGGGTAGCAGCAAAGGGCTATTTCAAAGTGTGAGTCTTTCTCCTTTCACAAGCCGGGCTCGAAACTGCCAAACATCCTGCAAATAATGCCAAACAGAACAAATTTATGGAATACTTCAATTTGCCAATCACAAGACAAATAAAATTTCTAGGCTCTACAAAATGACTAAACAGAACAAAAAGTCGCTATAATAGTCATAGTGAATAAAACATATTCTGAGACTTCAGTTATTTACCAACATCTAAAATAGTGTTAATTAAACTAAGTTGGTGGGTCCCCAAATTGTCAACCCTGTTTTATTTGGCTCACTTGCTGATTACAGGTAATGTAACTAGATAGATTATGTTTGGTCATACTGCAAACATTTTCTGTACCTTCTGTACCTTACCATACCTTCCTGGCCCATTTTGAATGTTCAACTCATCGTCGCCATGAGTCAAAATTGCCTCAATGGCAAGAAACAACAACTTCTGATTAGATCACAGTAGTGAAAACGGTTGTCATGGGTTACTGTTTTTTTTGTTTGTTTGTTTTCTCTTAAAAAAAATTACAGACTTTCTTATTTATTTCTTGTTTCTTCTTAATTTTTGAGCAAACAGCAAGGAATGGTAGAAAAAATGATTTTGGAATTAGACCTGACTCTGAAATCTAGTGCTGCCACTTATGAAACTTAGGCCAAACTCTTGGACACTTTATTTTCTCATTAATAAGATGGGGTTATAATGACTGCTCCACTGGGTTTTAGTGAAGAAAATAAGAAAATGGATATGAAAGTGCTTTTGTACCTTACAAAGAACTGTATGACAGCGGTTAGTATGTTATTCTAAGTAAACCTCATCAACTATACCTACAGATTAACTAAAATAAACATGGGAGGCAATTCATTTAGCACAAGCTTGACAAGCCTCAAACATAACGTATGAATTTTTTGTCTTAAAATTCAGCATGTTAGACGAAGGCCTCAATTGACGAAATATGTTGGCTACATAAGGCATCTTATGTACTGGACAAAGGAAGAAGGACAAGAAATTTCTAGGATCTGCAAATGCAAAATCAGAATATTGTCAGATATGGGATAGATTCACAGTTCTAAAGGGAGAAGGGAGTCCCTGCGTGGTGTAAACGGCAAAGGCTCAGCTACTAACAGAAGGTTGCAATTTGAATCCACCCAGAGGCACCTCAGAAGAAAGGCCTGACGATCTACTTCCAAAAAATCTCCCATTCAAAACCCTATGGAGCACAGTTTTACTCTGATACTCATGGGATCGCCACGAGTCTTAACTGACTTGATGGCAACTGGTTTGGTTTTTAAGGGAGAAGCAATATTGTCAAACCGGGAAGATGCTTCAGAAGACGACTCCCAGCAACATGGTCCTTACCATGGGCATGCCATGCTCTGCAAAGTACATCACAGGCCAGGGTCAGCCTTAAACTCAGGCTGTTGGGGGGTCTGTCACTCACATATGAAATGCATGTATGTATGATTATCTAATATGAATCAAAACAAGGTAGGATCAGCTTCTTGGTTCAGAAGCTAAAATGTACATATTCTACAAGTGAATATGTTCTTTTCAAAAAAATTTTATGTATTTTGTTGTCATTGTTGAGAAATACACAGCAAAATATATACCAATTCAACCATTTTTACATGTACAATTTAGTGACACTGATTACATTCTTTCAGTTGTGCAACCTTTCTCATCCTTTTCTGAGTTGTTTCTCTCCCATTAACATAAATTCACTACCCCCTAAGGTACCCTTGGTGGTGAAGTAGTTAAGCATTTGGCTGCTAACTAAAAGGTTGGTGGTTCGAACCCTCCAATCGCTCCACAGGAGAAAGATGTGGCAGTCTGCTTCCATAAAGACTACAGCCTTGGAAACCCTGTGGGGGCAGTTCTACTCTGTCCTATAGGGTTGCTATGAGTCGGGATCTACTCGACAGCAGTTGGTTTGGTTTTTTTAAAAAATTTTATTGTTGTACTTTAAGTGAAAGTTTACAATTCAAGTTAGTAGCTCATACAAGAATTTATACATACATTGTTATGTGACACTAATTGCTCTCCCTATACTGTGACAGCACATTCCTCCTCTCCACCCTTGATTTCCCATGTCCATTCAACCAGCTCCTGACCCTCTCTGCCTTCTCATCTCATCTCCGGACAGGAGCTGCCCATTGAGTCTCATGCATCAACTTGAGCTAAAAATCACACTCTTCACGAGTATCATTTTATGTCCCATAGTCCAGTCTAATCTTTGTCTGAAGAGTTGGCCTCAGGAACGGTTTTAGTGCTGGGCTGACAGAGAGTCTGGTGACCATGCTTTCTGGGGTTCCTCCAGTCTCAGTCAGACCATTAAGTCTTGTTATTTACTAGAATTTGAGTTCTGTACCCCACTTTTCTCCTGCTCCATCAGGGACTTTCTGTGGTGTTCCCTGTCAGGGCAGTCATTGGTGATAGCTGGGCACCATCTAGTTCTTCTGGTCTCAGGCTGATGCAGTCTCTGGTTTATGTGGCCCTTTCTGTCTCTTCGGCTAATACTTTCCTTACGACCATGGTATTCTTCATTCTCCTTTACTCCAGGTGGGTTGGGACCAACTGTTGCATCTTAGATGGCCACTCACTAACTTTTAAGACCCTAGATGCCACTCACCAAAGTAGGATGCAGAACATTTTCTTAATAAACATTGTTATATCAATTGACCTAGATGTCCCCTGACAGCATGGTCCCCAGACCCCCGCCCCTCTTACTCTGTCCCTCAAAGTGTTTGGTTGTATTCAGGAAACATCTTAGCTTTGGTTTAGTCCAGTTATACTGACTTCCCCTATAATGCGTGCTGTCCTTCCCTTCACCTAAGATAATTCTTGTCTACTTTCTAGTTAGTGAATACCCTTCTCCCTCCCTCCCACCCTTCTAACCATCAAAAAATGTTATCTTCTGTGTTTAAACCTTTTCTTGAGTTCTTATAATAGTGGTCTTATA